CTCCCATTTTTTATCTTCTTCTTCTCCGTCTCTCTCTCTCGCTCTCTCACTCACTCACTCACTCTCACACACAGTCTCCTAGCAATAAATAGGGGCAGCTTCTTTTTTCAAATAATGGATTTTTCAAAAATTGGTTACAATCAGAAATTGCAATTTTACACATTTGTACTTGTATTTTCTTCCTACTACAATATGTCAATATCTCCTTTAGAATGCTAGCATATAATTGACAAAATAATTTGTCTAATGTTGGGCAAAAGAGTTATAATTAACCTCATTTTTTGCTTTTTATTTATTTGCATAAACTATGTACTATGACTTTTGGTCTTTTTGTATTTAATGATTTTTTTACCTAATAAATATGATGTTAAAATTACAAATATATCACATTATTTCTATTTATTGGAGAAAAAAAATTAAATCTTGTAGAAGAAATTTGTTAGGTAAAAAATTCATTAAATATAAAAAGTCTAAAAGTCAACATATATAGTTTATGCAAACGAAACAAGAAAATAATGTGTCCACCCTAAAAGAAATTCCAGGCTGCACCCCTTAGCACAATAACCCACATTCTCTGTAGCGAAATGTCACAGTGTTATTCTTGGTGGTTGTTTCCATTTAATGGTTTGGAGGAGGAAACACTAGAATCATGGAGTCAGAATTGGGTGCCAGCAGTGGCTCAAGCCTAGCCAATGACGACTTCCTGGCTACATCAAGAGGAACCCTCCTAAAAATAATATATATTTCCGTTAAGCATGTGTACAAAGGCGGACTATAATAGTATCAATTTTAATCAGCCAAAGGTTGAATACCTAAAAAGCAATTTACAGTTTATTACTAATTGTAGTTTGATGTCAACCTAACATAACTTCTTGCAAATAAGGATCTAAAAAATATGAATATTAACGTTTAAACTTAAATAAAACTTAGAAATAAATTCAAACTAATTCTTACCTGACATATTTCACAGCATATAAGNTAAATAAGGATCTAAAAAATATGAATATTAACATTTAAACTTAAACAAAACTTAGAAATAAATTCAAACTAATTCTTACCTGACATATTTCACAGCATATAAGTGCAATGTGTCGCAGATGACACATTTGCATGACGATCAAAAAAGAACTGTACACATTCTAAATACCCATGCATTGCAAGTATAATTGGTAATAGTTAATTATTTTGTAATCTAGCACACATAATTTAAACGACACTTTCTCACATGAAAAATCCTTTTTATTGGTGTATTAAGGTTATTAGAGCTGCCTGCTTCTTTGAGAATCAGGCCATCCAAAGTCACCGAACCTATAATCCTTCTAGCAAAAACCTTAAAAGAAAAACAAATTGTAGTGCACCATGAATATGAGTGTTATTTCAACCATATTATTTAACTTGGTTCTCTTGTGACGCTTACATTGCAAAAGGATCTAATGACAACTCAAATTCAGATGTTTGCAAGTATTTATTGGTGACTAAAACGCATCAAGATACTGTTTATGTTTTTGATGGTAATGTTGACAGAAACTAATCCCAGCAGAAATCATAAACTCACTGACATCTCTTTAACATTTTTTGTGATTCCCTAATTTCAAATCCTCATAGCTAATATGAACCTTTGTTTTATGAAATCCAACGATCAACTTCTATGTTGTAATGTTAATATACAATATAAGGATCTGATTAAAAATCAATATGACATGAAAGTTTTACGTAAAGATACCTCACTCAACTAATTTTTACCCTCGATTGAAACTCGAACTTCACGGTGATAAATCTTCAAGAACATATTACAATGTCTTTTTATCTCCTCATTGAGAATCATATTAGCAAGAGTAGCACTACCACAGACAAAGCCACCATTGTCAAAAATTGAAATGTTATACCTACATCACACAATGATTCCAATAATTTAGCACACAAATACAATTGCATAAATTCCAAAATACAGATGACCCAAATAAAGGAAATGCCTGAAAATTAAAGAATCACAAAAACTTTGACCTTTTTTTGCTAATAAATATGAATTGAGATTAAGGAAAAATAGTATAGAAGATATAATTGAGAAGGAATCACATAAAATTTGAATGTGTAAGAAAGAATTGTGACACTTAAAAAGTAAAACATCTGTGACCTTAACTCGAGAGAGATCGGATAAACAAGTAAACTGAAGATTGAATCACCACATTGTGAGCCAAACCCACTAAACAGTCTGTTAATTCTGCAATGAAGAGAGGTAGGGGCAAAAGTTTTTGAATTGGTGAAACAAAAGAATTTCTAAGAGAGAGAGTGTTACAAATAAACCAACGTGATTAGTAATATGTGAAACCAGTGAGAATAAGGAAGGGCTGACTTGGTTCATCTTCCTAGTTATAGTATATTCATTGCACGTTGAATATCTTAACGTTAACTGATATTCTCATTACGTAGATTTGGTACCGCCTAAATGATATAAATTAGCCGACGATGAATAAAATTAAAACCAAGAGCAAAATTGGAGTTGTATCTGTCATTGTGTCATGATGTTGCCCGATGATATGTAGGATTGAATATATGAAGCATTGAGAGCAGCTCAAAAGTCTGCACGAGTACTAAAAAAGAGATAATGTTGTCATTATATTTTTTGTGTATAAATGGATAGCTTGTTTGTAATTGATTTAGAATTAAGATGACTTTATATAATTGTTTAAAATTAATGATGATAAAAAATATTTTTTAATTTAGTAACCTTTTAAAAATAATATGGATATAGGTTAGACTGAATTCCTTAATTTAATTTATTTATCTTTTATACGTCAATCAAATGAGTCTAATATATCTCATTTGGTTAAGTAATTTACCTAGAAAAAAAGAAAGTATTAGTTTTTTTATTAAAAGATACTAATAGTGATGCGATAGATTGAATATTTTCTTCCCCGTCTATCAAAAAAAAAAAAAAAATNCAGGCCACCAACCTCCCATTTTTTATCTTCTTCTTCTCCGTCTCTCTCTCTCTCTTGCTCTCTCACTCACTCACTCTCACACATAGTCTCCTAGCAATAAATAGGAGCAGCTTCTTTTTTCAAATAATGGATTTTTCAAAAATTGGTTACAATCAGAAATTGCAATTTTACACATTTGTACTTGTATTTTCTTCCTACTACAATATGTCAATATCTCCTTTAGAATGCTAGCATATAATTGACAAAATAATTTGTCTAATGTTGGGCAAAAGAGTTATAATTAACCTCATTTTTTGCTTTTTATTTATTTGCATAAACTATGTACTATGACTTTTGGTCTTTTTGTATTTAATGATTTTTTTACCTAATAAATATGATGTTAAAATTACAAATATATCACATTATTTCTATTTATTGGAGAAAAAAAATTAAATCTTGTAGAAGAAATTTGTTAGGTAAAAAATTCATTAAATATAAAAAGTCTAAAAGTCAACATATATAGTTTATGCAAACAAAACAAGAAAATAATGTGTCCACCCTAAAAGAAATTCCAGGCTGCACCCCTTAGCACAATAACCCACATTCTCTGTAGCGAAATGTCACAGTGTTATTCTTGGTGGTTGTTTCCATTTAATGGTTTGGAGGAGGAAACACTAGAATCATGGAGTCAGAATTGGGTGCCAGCAGTGGCTCAAGCCTAGCCAATGACGACTTCCTGGCTACATCAAGAGGAACCCTCCTAAAAATAATATATATTTCCGTTAAGCATGTGTNACTTTGACCTTTTTTTGCTAATAAATATGAATTGAGATTAAGGAAAAATAGTATAGAAGATATAATTGAGAAGGAATCACATAAAATTTGAATGTGTAAGAAAGAATTGTGACACTTAAAAAGTAAAACATCTGTGACCTTAACTCGAGAGAGATCGGATAAACAAGTAAACTGAAGATTGAATCACCACATTGTGAGCCAAACCCACTAAACAGTCTGTTAATTCTGCAATGAAGAGAGGTAGGGGCAAAAGTTTTTGAATTGGTGAAACAAAAGAATTTCTAAGAGAGAGAGTGTTACAAATAAACCAACGTGATTAGTAATATGTGAAACCAGTGAGAATAAGGAAGGGCTGACTTGGTTCATCTTCCTAGTTATAGTATATTCATTGCACGTTGAATATCTTAACGTTAACTGATATTCTCATTACGTAGATTTGGTACCGCCTAAATGATATAAATTAGCCGACGATGAATAAAATTAAAACCAAGAGCAAAATTGGAGTTGTATCTGTCATTGTGTCATGATGTTGCCCGATGATATGTAGGATTGAATATATGAAGCATTGAGAGCAGCTCAAAAGTCTGCACGAGTACTAAAAAAGAGATAATGTTGTCATTATATTTTTTGTGTATAAATGGATAGCTTGTTTGTAATTGATTTAGAATTAAGATGACTTTATATAATTGTTTAAAATTAATGATGATAAAAAATATTTTTTAATTTAGTAACCTTTTAAAAATAATATGGATATAGGTTAGACTGAATTCCTTAATTTAATTTATTTATCTTTTATACGTCAATCAAATGAGTCTAATATATCTCATTTGGTTAAGTAATTTACCTAGAAAAAAAGAAAGTATTAGTTTTTTTATTAAAAGATACTAATAGTGATGCGATAGATTGAATATTTTCTTCCCCGTCTATCAAAAAAAAAAAAAAAATAGATTCCCCTAGCCCCAAAAATACCAGAACCCACTCTTTAAACGTCCTTGCAGCTGGACTAAAAAGACCCAGATATCTGACCACACCCACTGCGGTGTAGGTAGAATCAGAAGGGTCTTCACGTAATCTTGAAGCTGAAGTGTCTATTAACAACTAGACTCCTACGTTTGACAGGCTATCTTCCCTGTCTATCTTCAACTGAATTATGTTCTTTTGAAATGGCAGATGGCAGATGCCAGATTGGGCTTTTCGATCAACCCTAATTCCGATCATCACTCTCTTCAGTCAAAACATTGAATCCATCTAAGGGGAAAGACCCATCACTCAAGTTCATCTCAAATGGCTTTAGGAGCTTTTCAATCGGTCAACGACGGCGTTTTGGAGCAACCCAGTTCAAGGGTGTGCATAAACGAGACCCTTAGGGAAGACGAGCTTCGAACAGTTTTAGCAAAGCTAGAGAGCGATAAGGACAAGGAAGTGTTTGGTTTGGTTTGCAAAAAATGGCTTAATTTGCAGAGTACTGAAAGAAAGAAGTTGTGTGCTCGCGCTGGGCCCCACATGCTCAAGAAAATGGCCGCCAGATTCACTCGCCTTCATGAGTTGGATCTCTCTCAGTCAATTTCCCGCTCTTTTTACCCTGGAGTCACTGATTCGGATCTTTCCGTTATTGCCAGTGGCTTCTCTTGCTTGCGGGTCCTTAATCTGCAGAAGTGCAAAGGTACCTAACATTTATGCATTGCAAATCTTGCCCTCTAATTTTTCTATCTTTATTTAGTTTTAAATTTATTTGGCGTTTACTTGCTGTACTTGAATTCATTCTGTGGTGGACATGAATAGCTCTGTTTAAGTTTCTAATCTATGTGCCTTTATTGGAAAAATCCGAACAAGTAAATGACTTCAACGTGTTCAATATTTACCATTGTCAATTATATAATGGCAGTATGAGTTTTCTTTTTTGTTTTTTTGTCCATGCAAAAGGTTTGTGAAATTTTGAGCAATTTCTGTTGATGTTCATCATTAATGTGTGTTTCAAAGATTTAAATAATGATAAAATTGAACTAAACAACACAAACCTTTGCTCAAGAGCTTGATTTCGGAAATCAATGTTCACAACTTTTTATCTGCAAAAGAACACATCTTTTCATCAACGGTCACATCTTTACCTTTGAGTGGTCACATCTTTTTATCAACGGTCATAGATTTCATCACAAATGGCTGTGATGTTTCGGCTCATGACTTTCGGAAAGTGGTAGATTTTTTCTATAAAAAAGCTTCTATTGGTTTGGTGTTCGATTCATGAATAAACTTCTTCTTGTTTTAGTATATTCTGTGAAGATTGTTTGGAGAATTCAGTAAGTATATCTAAAAGGCAGTCAAGGAGAAATTTTTCCATGGGATGTACACACCACGTGGCATGCCCATGTGGTGTGTACAACCAATCACAAATTGCCATGAGAGCAGGCTGTCAGGCACAATACACCTCAACATTTAAACAAGTTTCCATTAACTCTCATTAACCACCGTTATCAGGTACGAGTTCCAAGAAATTTTTGCAGAAGACATCAACTCTTTCTTGCAGCTTGTATCCATTCTACTGCGCAACTAAATTCAAAATTCAAAATGTAATTTTCACCTTTACATCTTTGTACTTTACAAGAATCCATTCAAAACTTTACTCGAGTAAAAATTCAAAAATTCACAACCCATCTAAGCCATTTCTCTCCATCCTCTCTCTCTGCTCGCACAACTCATCCTCATTAGTTTTTCTTTTTCTCCAAATCTCTTCTCTCTCTTAGTATATCATCTATCAAGGCAGAGACTGGACCCTATCTTGGTTGTATTGGTGGAGAAACAAGTGAGAAATCTTCGTTGTCTCTCTAAAATGAGTAGAGAAATATTTGTTTTCTCTCTTTGTTATCCGAGTTAGGTGTGTCTTACCAATTTTGCCGCTGCTACAACATCAATTTTAATTTGATCAAACATCAATAATTCAATTTGATTTCATCACATAATGTCTGATTTAGCTTACAATAAATTTCATATCATAATCAACAAATTCAACACCAATTTTCATCAAATAGTCCATTAATTGGAATACTGATAGACTGTGAATATCCAGACCAAAAAAAAAGACTGTAAATATAATATATGTGCATACACACACACATAGAACAATGGGTCAAAATCTGTACAAAACAATGGATCAAGATCTGGTCTTCTATGCCTTCTATGGTTGTGGGCGAACAGAGAAGGAGAGAGAAGGCAAAAACAAAGATTCATGATCAAGCTATTTTCTCTTTGAAGCCAAAAAAAAAAAAACTTTCCCCATCATTTACTCCACAATACTCTTGTAATTACTAAAACTAATAGAGTCATCATCAAGCTTGTATTGACCACAATTGCATCAGTTCCGGTGTAAAGCAATGGATGTTAAAAAAAAACAACTTTCCCCATTAAAAAAAAAAAAAATTTCCCCATAATTTACTCCACAATAGTCCAGCAATTACTAAAACTAATAGAGTCATCATCAAGTTTGTATTGACCACAATTGCATCAGCTCCGGTGTAAACCAATGGATGTAAAATCAAACTTTTCTTGTTGCTGAAAATGGGCATTGTCATTCCACTGGGTCTTTACTGGAGGAGCTATGTACCCGTATTCAAATTTCTGTAGCACCACAAATTTATTTTAGCTAAAGGTATCATAACTAAGAAATAAATGTACTTAAATGATCACCTAAATTGTTATAGGAGAAGGAAACAATAGATTTGCATAGCTTAAAATTATTATCAAAGCAAATCTCGACAAATAATAAAAATATAGTATAACCTATTTGAAAGCTGCACAATAATATATTAACCTCTTTCAATTGAGTCAAAAGAGAAATAATAAGAAGATATTATCCTAGTTTAATGGACTGAAAGGCATGAGTAGCATCCTTTTTCACTCAAAAGGATAGCATTATCCTCTTTCAATTGAGTCACCAACGACTCCAAATCAACAAAACTTAACAAGCATTCTTTAAGTTTAGAAGTGATAACTGATAAAATAAATTAAATTAAAGATGAGGATTGGAAGTGAAAAGTGGAGGTGTGCGAAGAGAGGGATGAGAGTTAGAGAGAGAAAGGGCATTCTTACCTTTTCCTCCACCAATACAATCCGGATATAGCCGGGTCTCTACCTTCATCGGCGATGTGAGAAGAGATGTGGAAAAAGAAGTAAATAGTGATGAAGTTTTGGGTGCGAAGAGAGGGATGAGAGTTAGAGAGAGAAATAGAGTAGCAATGGAGAGTGGGGGATTTTTGAATGTTTGAATTTTGAAAAGGCATAGGAGAGATGTCACCCAGGTTTTGTGTTGTCTTTTTCTTGAAGTGTGTTTTGTTATTTTAGACGTTTGCCTCCATTAACAAAGCTAGCTTAGTTGATGAGTTGGATTTTTTTAAAATTCTCTGACACAATGATGAGATGATAGTGTCTCACTAGATAAGCGCACCACGTGGGCATGCCACATGGTGTGCACATCCCATAGAAAAATTTCTCATAGTCGAGGGATCATTTTATGTTCATCAAATTTTTTGTTTGGGTGTACATCAAGAAGTGACGTTTAGTTCGTTGTATCTTGGGAGTAGGATGGTACTGGTGTTTTGCCCTGAGGTGAAGACGATATTCTATTCTATAGTGATTGTGGTCCATAGCATGTCTCAAATTGGGTTTTGCATTTTGACTTTCTCGTCGTCATCATCATTATTGTTATTATTTTGTTTATTTACTTAATTTAATTTAGTTTTATCGACCTTCCGATTGAGTGGATACACTCAACTTAACCCAGTAAAATCTTTATCCCAACGAATCAATGAATAAATTATTAAAGTTTCCAATAGTTTTAGAGTAGAGTAAAATACAATTAAACTTTCATCTAATCTTTATAGCTTAAACAAATGAACAAAATTCTATAAAACCAGAGAAATTCTCTAGAAAAAATTCATAGATGGCAAATTGAATGCGTTATTGGTTGACCACGTTGTGGTTTTATTTGGTTTTTCTAATCTTAGTGCATCATAAGAAACTCCAACCCAAGATAAATATTCTTCTAGTACAATAGAGAATTCTTCAATCCTATCACATGATTGCGATGATTATCCATAACATGGTTGGATTCTATGTGTATTGTCATATACTCTCTATCATGTTTCTGTCTTACTATCACTGTAATAGAATGCACTAGAAAAAGAAGTGGAAAAGAAAAAAAAGGGCTTTAAAGCTATTCTACTGGAAGATATTTGGATTTTAAAAGTATTGATGATAAATTTGTTTGGCAAGCCTATGAATTTCAAATTTTGGCTCATGAGTTGAATATGAAAAAAAATTTGATGAGCGGTTTCATGCCCAATGGATTGTGATTGGATCGTATGATTATACGATTCGGTATAGAAAGTCCCTTGTAGAAATTAAAATCCTAATGAATTGTGATTTGGATCTTATAGGATCTTAGAATCTCTATCTAAATTGCAATTTTAACCATCTCAGTCATTGTGTTTGTTTTTTAGATGCATTTAGTTATTGAATTGACCCAATTTATATTTATTGTTTTAATACCTAAAAACTCACTCCAAATATGATTGTCTCGTATAATTGCCAGGTCTATGGGAGAATTTTAGCGGATGAGAAAAGTTATAGAAAGTTTTTTTTATTACAAATATCACTCTTTATTCATCCATCTTTCTGGTTGAAAAGTTGAAAACAACTATTAGGTTTTATCTCTTCTCTTAGCGAGTGATTAGCCAAATAGTCTTCTATTTTCATTCTCTTTTATCGTTTTTTTTCTTTGGATGTCGAACAGGTAAAGTTGTTTAATCAATAGTCCCACAACTTTCCAATCTCTCATTTATATTCGTCTCTATCTGAAAGTTAAAATTAAAATACGTTAATTCTCCTATTCTCTTTGCAAAATATCACTAGATTAACAATCTACCTTTGATTTTTAATACTCATATTGTATAGGAATGTCAATCAAAGAGCGATATCGATATGCTGAAACAAAAATAATTTACCTAGAGGGGTGGTGAATAGGTCTTATGCACTCTAATTTGGAATTTGTGCCCAAATAAAACCTTTCCCACTTAATTACAAATTAAGTAACCAATTAGTTCAATTAACTCCTCAATGACTTTGATAGAATGATCAAATTAGTTAATGTGTGTAACAACCCAATTTAATTCAATGTGCAACAATCAAAATCCACAAACCTTATTTCTTCAATCTTTTCCACCAATTCAAACCAATTGATTTAAACGATTAGAATGACTAACAACACAAGTCGGATTCTCTCAAGCAAAGTATCAAACATTTGGACGTAGGGAAAGATTGCAAGTACGTAAAGGTGAACACAATCACACAATTTAAACAATTTTAACACAGAAATCTTCTCGGAAAAAAACCACAGGACTGTAGTCTACTTAACTTAATCCACTAGTTTCAAAGTTTGATTACAAGTTTGAATACTTATATCTCAACTAATATCATGATTAGTAGCCTCCTCCCTGAATCTTCACTCCGAAAATTCACTGAGAGTCTTGACAACTAGCTTCAATAGACAATAAATCAAACCCCACGATCTGTCCTTAGGATCCTCCTTTTTCTATTTTGGAATCCTCCATTTGATCTTTGGTAGTCTTCTTGGATCCTTTGTATTGTGGGTTTTGGTGGTCTATATGATCTATGAAGGTTTTTGCTCAAATTCTCTCCAGAATTCTAAGTTAGATCATGTAGGGATTGGGGCTTAATGGAACTAGGGTAAGTTCTCTCTAGTCTTGGTAGCCTCTCTTAAACCCTAGAGCCTTGATTGTGTCCTTGATTTGTATTAGGTCAGAGAACATGTGTGTAATAGGAATAGGAAAAGGGAGGTTAATTAGTGTGTAATACAAGTCTATCCATGACGCACTACTTGAGCACCAGCCACTGGACAGGAATTTTGTCAGCCTCAAATAGGGAGAGAGCGCTCAAGCGCTAAAGCGAGGACTGATTACTGTTGTGCTCTTATTGTCACCAGTCCATTTTTCAAATTCTTGAGAGCGCTATCCTCTAGTTTTCTCTTAAACTAAGGGTATTTTTCAACTTCCTAATGGGTGGTACCTAAAAAGCCTCCATGCGATGACTCATTTCAAAACTCATTTTCAAAAACAAATCCTAAAAGTTTCAAAAACGTTTTTACACAAAATGCATAAGAGTCATGTTACGGATTTGATACGCACACTCTAAATCCATTTTAACAACCTAAGTTAAATCAAACTAAGGTAACTAGGTCCTCTTATCTCATCTAAGCTTGATCGGATCCAATAAGTCTTCTTCCTTTTGCAATGTAGCTTGAGTTTCTTCACCGCATCTTGTTTTTGGCTTTTAATCTTCGTAAGCCTTTTGACCATGGATTTATTTATATAAAATTATGAAGCGACATCACGAAATTTTGCAATTACTACAATTTTCCTAACATTGTAGTTTCTCAAATTTTAATCATGTGTTTAAGTGAATCTTACGAATCTCAATCCAATCCTATGATTTTGTCTTTTAGTCTCTCCAATCAATCCAAGGTAGGATCCTGATTTTAAAAACTTTGGTCCTAGGATAGCTTTGATTGTGAATCCACAGTTTGGTGGATAGATACTAGTGCAAATATTTATGTTTATAGATTTATTAGATCTCAGATGGAAAGTCTGAACATGGGCAATGCCATTGCCTCTCCATCTCGCTTTCAGTTTTTGGTGAAATTGTTCAACTGGTTCTGATCTTCTCCTTCTCTCTTTCTCTCCTTTATTCCATTTTTCCTCTGTTTTGACAAACTGTAATTTGAATTTCTTCTGCTCTTAATTCCTTTTGTGTCCTATTCAGTTTTATTCTTCAAGCTTTCTTTGATTGATCATCATTTTCCTCGAAGATTTAGGATTAGGATTAAAAGAAAAAGCTTGCTGGTCGAATGTTTGGAACGCCTTAGAGGAAATGATCCCGTATTACTGAGATAGGCTGGAATGTTAGTTTTGATCTTGAGGTTCTTGCCATTTGTGAAAGATGGCTTGGAGCTTCTTTGAAGAAAGGTGGATTGTTGTCAGGGCTTTTCTCCATGAAATTCAGGGCTAGTTCCTTTGTATTTTGGGTGGAGGAGATCAGTATTAGCAGAGGTAGCTTTTTGAGGGTTTCTATAAAGGCTATGAATAAAATGCTTGCTTGTCTGATGATTCCTTGGGATTTTGAAGGTTGGGGGTGGAGGAAACTGGGCGACCTGATTCGAAGTAGTTAGGGGTTGTAGGACTTCTTTTGGTGATCCAGCTGATTGTATAATGGAAGCAAATAATAGGGCATGTGGTGACGCCAAAAATAGGGTAGTGTTGATGCCAAAAACAAGGTTCTAGTGTTGTCTATAACAGAGCTAGTTTGATGGGTGTTTTGAATGATTTTTCAGAGGAATTCCTAGTAAGATAACAGGGTTGTGGTTGGTTTTTTGGCGATTGGAGGAGAGCTATTGTATGTACCTGGTTAAGTGTATTTGATTCGTGGGGCAATTGTAAGTTTGCAATTGCAAAATTATGGAATTTCTGATTTAAGATTTTGCCTTTCCATGGAGATGGGACTATCTTTTTCTATGACAATGAGAAACTTTTCAAGGATATTTGTAAATTCGAGAAGTGCTTTCTGGAAGGTGGCCTGTTAGTTAGGCATTGAAGGTGGTCCCCTTGATGCAAACTCTGTTTGCAACAAAGTCTTGTTCTTGGAGGCTGGCTTACTATTTATGGGCTACCTCATCACTTATGCAAAATGGAAGTGTCCAGAAGATGGAGGATTGCTGCTGTGGATTTCTGAATGCTGATTGTAGTTTAATTTACTTGCATAATTTGTTCAGAGCGAAGCCGTAGATTAAATTCACTAAACCAATTTTTGGCCCAATTCTGGCTTCTCTAAGACTTCATTTGTCTGGTAAGGTCTTTAAGGTGAAGGGCAGGGCTCTGGGAAGATTGGACAGAGATGGTCCTCGTGGTAGCAGTTGTCTGATTGCAAAAGGCAGAACAAAACTCCTCCTAACCATCGAGAGGTCAAAGACGATGGGGGTGGGAAAAAAGGCTTTTGGGGCAGTTGGGCATTGGCGGCAGTGGTGATGTGAATAATTGCGTTCTAGAGTAAGGCGATTCAAGTCCTAAGAAATTGGGTCGGGTTTAAGCCCTAGATAGTGGAGCCAAAATCGCAATTAATCGAGACAAAGCCTAATAATATAATGCAGTAAATAGGGTTTAAAATTTTTAACTATCCCCTAATTACGCAAAATTAAATTTAAAGTTGGTTAGTTGAATTAGTTGCATTGAGGTTCTAGGTTGGATTTATGAATTGGGCTCAATTAAAAATAAAAGAAATTGGCTAAGTGAAATTGGGCTTGGGGTGGTTTGAATAGTAAGGTCCACAGTGGTCTGCTTCTTGAAATATTTGTTCCAATAAGCCCTACGGCTTCTAGGTTTCCTGATAAGAAGCCCATGAACTTTATAAAGGGTGTCATTTTTAATAGGCTTAAGGATTTTGTATCTTTAAGGGAGGTTTTGAAATCTAATTTTAAGGACCAAAGTTTGAGAAAGGCTGGCTAGGGCTATTTTGAACTCTTTATTGAAGAAGATTGATCTGAGGCGTGGGGGAGCAATTAGTAGATATTTGCTATGCAATTTGGAGGCAGGATTCTTGAATCGAATGTCTTCAAAACAAGAAGATGCTCTCAATGTGATTGTTTTTGAAAGAAGTGAGAATATGGATGATAATGAAGCTCTTCTCGTAAAGAATGTGAGAGTTACAATTTTAACGAAAGGTTCTTAATGCTAATGATTTGCTATTTTGAAAGGATCTTCACTTTGGGTTTGATGATCTTATAGATAATCTAGAAGGCAAAGATTTGGAGAGCATTAATGGGGATTCAAGAGGTGTTGAGTCAATTTCTAGAGTTGGGGAGCTATTTGATGAGAAGGAGGTTAAATCCAATGCACAGAAGTTGTAAGTATGGTCCAACCTTGATTTACAGTCTTCCAGATACTTAATCTCTCCTCATGTGCTAGAATGGTACTTGAATCCATTTACGATCTAGAGTTTCTAGACACATCGCACTTTCACTTGGGTCAAGGCTGCTACTTGGCCCTAAGATGGATCAAAAAAGAGTAGGGAACCTCCTTGGTTTTTGGAATTTGACATCAGGAAGTGTTTTCACACTATCGACAGATATCGACTCATCCCAATCTTTAAGAAAGAGGTCGACGATCCCAAGTTCTTCTATCCCATTCAGTAAGTCTTTTTCACCGGACGACTCTTAGGAGGTGAGAAGGGCCCTTATCCGTCCCATACAATGTATTACTATCGGCTATACTAGGCAACATCTACTGACACAAACTCGATCAGAAGATAGGGAGGATCTAACAGAAGTACAAAATTCTGATTGTTCAAAGAATCAGATCGGTTCTATTAAGGACAAGTCGTATTGATCACCAAGAAAACTCTAGAGAAGAAGCAAGCTTTAACGGTCCCCAAGACAATAAAGCCATCATTGTGGGGAGGATAAAGAGCATCCAACGCAAAACGTCTTTTCATTTCCTTGTTTCATCATGGCACAACCCCCACCCCACAAGTTTGGGCTGGCAAAGTCATCTCAATTGAAGTTTTTCAAAAATTTAGGGAGGATTTGGGGGAATTTAGGGGATGGTGGGTATGCCATGGGGTGTGCTTTATTAGCTTTTCTCTCTCTTATATCATTTTTTCTAGTGATCTTGAGTTTATAAATCTCGTGGAGGGTTTTTCTGGGGAAGAGATTTAAACCTTAATTTATCATTGGTTGAATTTTTTGCTGAGGGGATTGGTAAGGAAATAGTTCCTTTTGATAATTGCATTGTCACAAATCTCTGGTTGGCATGGAGGAAGGGCACCAGCTAAGGGTAAAGGGTAGAGATTTGGTTATAGTTGAAGTTGAAGAATAGTTAGATGAGAATCACAGGAGCTCTAAGCAAAATGTTTTAGATCCTGGGGAATAAAGGTGGATTTTCTCTTTGATGACAATGGCGGGGTATATTGGTAGACTTTTTGCCTTCCATGGATTTGTCCTTGGTGTCGGTTAAAGGGAAATGTAGAAAAGCTATTAAAAGAAAGTAAGCTAGAATTAGGAAAGGATTAAGAGAATAATAAAACTTGGAATCTGAGGTCACTTACAAGTAGAGGTGGCAAATGGACGAGTTGAGTTGGTTATGGGTTGGTTCAAGATGGTTTGGGTACAAAACAAATCTAATTTGTTTTCAACTTGCTTAATAAATGGGTTATAATGGGTTGGGTTAAACCTATTAACCCGTAAAATAATTAAAACTCTTAATATGAATGCATATTAATGCATAAAAAATACACATACTAATACACCAAAACATACACTAATACACCAAAAATACCTACACATATACTAACACACAAAAACACAAACACGTTTATTACTTGTGTCACAGGGCGGGTTAGGTGTATTAGTGTGTATGTATTTTTTGGTGTATTACTGTGTATATTTTTTTGGTATATTAGAATATTTATTTGATTTTATTACTTGTATTATTTAAACTCAAAGCATGATTATTGATAGGGTTAAAAAGAGATTGGACGAGGTGGAAAAGGCTTATATATCAAGGGAAGAGAGATGCACTTTAGTACAATCGGTTTTGGCTAGTGGCCTTATTTATTTTTTGCCCCTTTTTTAGATTCCTTGGAAGATTGCTTCTAGAATTGAAAAATAGATGAAAGACATTTTTATGGGAAAGGAGTGAGAAAGAGAAAAAACCACCTTGTTAGGTGGTAGGTGGTTTTTAGATCTAAATTCAAGGGGGCTTAGGGTGTGGAAATTTTGGTGAAGAGAAACATTCTTTGTTAGGCAAGTGGTTATATAGGATTTCACTTGAATAAGGTGCTTTGTGGTATGATATTAAAAAGAAATATGGACTTCATTCCAAAGGTTTTGACTCAAATGTGGTGGTTATTGGCTCTTTAATAGGGTTTCATGGAGCATGGTAGGTTAGGTGTGGGGAATGTTGAGATAATTTGGTTATGGAAAGACTTATGGGTGGCTAATTAGTTAAATTATCAAGTTGTTAGGTCTTGAGAGAAGAGGAAGACATAGAAGAAGATTATGGAAGAGAGTACTGTGTTAGGTTACACAGCTACACCTAGCTTTTATATATAATCACAAAGTATAAAACTACCCTTAGTCTAAAAATAGCACATAACATAACACTTCTCCTCAAGTTGATGCATAAATATTCCTTATGCCCACCTTGCAAACAATGGGATGAAAAACCTTACTACCAAGGCCCTTTGTAAAAACATTAGCTATCCGATCTTTTGATTTCACAAAAGGCATGCAAATTATACCCTTATTTAACTTCTCTTTGAAGAAGTGTCGATCAATTTCACCTTGTTTGATCTTGCCATGTTGAACCGGATTATGGGCAATGTTAATGACAGCCTTGTTGTCACAATATAGTCTCACATAGGTCCATCTTCATGAATTCCCAGCTCTCCCAGTAGTGTTTGGAGCCACATAAGCTCATAGACTCCATTAGACATCGCTCTGTATTCAGCTTCTGCACTAGATCTAGCCGCTACTGTCTGTTTCTTACTTCGCCATGTGACAAGATTTCCTCCAATCAAGGTGCAATAACCTGAAGTAGATCTTCTATCATCCACTGAGCCAGTCCAGTCTGCAACACTAGATGCTTCCAACTTCAAGTGGCCATTATTAGAGAATGTGATCCTTTTTCCTAGAGCTGATTTGAGATACCTCAATATGTGATACACAACTTCAAGATGAGGGGTTCGAGGATCATGCATAAATTGATCAAGTGATGTCTGACTGAGTGTGTGATAGATATATTAATCTCCCCACTAGTCTTTGGTATCTCCCTTTCTCTACTGTCTCACCAACACCACAACTTTCTCAGTTAATGGTTGACTTTAATGGGAGAATTTGTAAGTCTATATCCTAATGTCCCAGTTTCTTTAAAAAAGTTAAGAACATATTTCCTCTAGGACAAAAATATACCTCGGTCAGAAACCTCAATTCCAAAAAAATACTTCAGTGGACCCAAGTTTTTGATTTCGAACTCCTTGGCCAACTGAGCTTTCAACTTGATGATTTCATGTTCATCATTTCCAGTTATCACAATGTCATCCACATGTACAATAAGAATTATAATCTTGTCATCAATTGGTCTGATGAATAAGGTATGTGTGATATGCCTGACTCTATTTGTATCTAAATGTCAGAATGGTTTTGAGAAACCTATCAAACCAAGTTTTGGGAGATTGCTTTAACTCATAAATAGATTTCTTCAACTTATATACCTTCCCATTAGTAATTGGAGATGAAAAATTTGGAGGAATCTCTATGTGCACTTAGATGAAAAACTTGGAGGAATCTCTATGAGCACTTGCTCTTCCAAATTTCTGTGAAGAAAGGCATTCTTCACATCGAACTGATGTAAACTCCACTCCAAATTTGATGCACAAGAGATAAGAGCACGTATGGAGTTTATCTTTGCCATAGGAGTAAAATTCTCCTGATAATCAATACCATATGTCTGAGTAAATCACTTTGCAACTAGCCTAGCTTTGCATCTCTCAACAGTCCCATCAGCTTCTTGTTTGACAGTAAACACTCATCTGCACCCTATTGCCCTTAGTCCAGAAGGAATACGAAACAAATCCCATGTGTCATTTTTCTTCAAAGCTTTTATTTTCTCTACTATAGCTTCTCTCCACTTAGAATCAGTGAGAGTTTCTTTCCAACCTTGAGGAATGGAAACAAAAGATAAGGAGAAAACAAAATTACAATAGGATGGAGACAAGGAATCATAAGAGACAAAATTAGATGTAGGATGTTGAGTACAAGCTTAACACTTTTTCTGATTGCAATAGGAAGATTAGAGTCATCAACAACTGGATTATCAATAATAGGAATAACATCTGGAGGTTCATTACGTGATAAATCAGTGAATAATAAAACTAGAGTTTAGGAATCAGATTGATACGGCGGCACATGGGTAATCTGTACTTTTTGATGCCGAGAATAAGTTTCAGATTATCGTTATGAAGGCGAATACCATGTAGATCACTATTATCACCTTTTTCCTCCATAAGTTGTTACTCTTCAGGATTAACATTCCATTGAATAAAAGGCTCTTGACAAAACATCTCTTTCCCTATAATGGTATTCTCCCCCCTAATGAGATGTCTGGACAGTAGAGGACTCAAATTCACGAAATGTAACATTCATGTTAACATACATTTTCTGTGACTCTGGATGATAACATTTATATCTCTTTTGTGTGGTAGAATAACCAACAAAAACACATTGTAGAGCCTTGGGGTCAAGTTTTCCACTAGAGGGTCTGGAATCTTTGTACAAAACACACCCAAAAATTTTAGGGAAAGAGAAGAAATAGTAGGAATGAAAAAGACTCAAAAAAACACTCGATAAGAGATCGAAACTGGAGGACACTTGAGGGTAGACGATTAATAAGATAAGTAGTAGTAAGGATTGCATCTCCCCCAGAAAGATTGAAGAACATTTATAACAAATGTCAATGAGTGAGCAACCTCAAGTAGATGACGATTTTTTTGCTCGGGGTTTGCACACAAGTGGTTTGGTACAAGATGCCATTGTCATTGAGATAAGAACGAAATTCTCCATTGCTATACTCAGTTCTAGCTGCATACTCACCATTTTATGGAAAGATCTAAAGCAGGAGAAAACTTCACTTTTATTAAGTAGGAGGTAAACCCAATTAAGACGAAAATAACAATCAATAAGGATAACAAACCAACAATAACTAGAAGTAGACAACACAGGAAGGACCACATATTTGAATGAATAATAGCAAAATGTGTCGTGCTTCTATGGTTAGTACCAAAGATCAAAATGTCGTGTCGAAACGTCCAAAATGTTTTAGAATTTCAACACTCCGACGCAAAACAGTGGTT